CGCTTACATAAGAGTTCCAATGGTTTCTTCCAACTTAGGTTTCAGTTACTTAACTGTAATATACCAATAATTTTGCATAAAGAAATCAAGATATCCTGTATTTTATAAAAATGTACATTGCCATTATAGAGTTGAGTTTATTAAAAGAAAATATCTCATGAGAAGGAGTCACATGTTATCTGATTAAGTGGTAAATGAAATCAATCGAATATAATATCTTGTCCATTTCATTTGGAAAGCATGATTAAAGCGATGTAGGTTTAAAATAAGTCCCTTCTCCACCCACCCAAAAATGGAGATACACAAACATAGACACACACACACATACACACACACTCACTATAATACAATTCCAGAGGCTAAATGCAAAGGAATTGAGGAATTGGATTTCATTGATAAATTGCTTTCTCCAGGGAAGAAGAAACTACCTCTTGGGTCAAACTAACAAACAAAAAGCACTAAAACTTTGCAATTTTATGACCCAAAGTTGCAATTATCTTTCATATTTCCTCAAGATGTTATCGGTGAGCCTTATAAGCAGAAAATTTATTGATCAAGCACCTATGTCAATAAATGTAAGCACTAAACATATTCCCAGAGAAACTCTTAAAGAATACAATTTCTTCAAGAATAGAAAGTATTATAGGTAAAAGGAATAATTCTAGGATTATGTCTTATTAATATTTTTGGCTTCAGAGTGTGGGGACTCCAGAATCCTTCAATGTGTAAGCACAATGTAACAAAACAATATCCATAATAATAGCAAAACTTACTAAAACATTCAAAATTTGTTTGGTCATTTTAATTGACTTTCTTTTTGGATATGATATCAATTGGCTGCTGAAATGATACACCTACAAAACCTGGAATTTAAAAAAAGCTTTATTTATGGGAGATTTGGCATTATTTTAAAAATTTGTTCAGATTTCACTTTTCAGTTTCCAAATGGATTCCTGAGCCCAAAGATGTTTACACTGGGGTCAGATATAACATTGCCACAGGGCAAACAAACTCTTCTCATCCTATTTGACAACCCAACCAACCCCACTTCCAGAATTTTTTAAATTAAAAAAATAATAACATAACATATTCACTCCCATGAAGTAGTCAGAATTAAACTACTAGTTCCAGAGGCCCTTGATAGTTCTCCAAGCATCCTTTATGTATTAAGGTCTGTGACCTTAACAACAAGCACTGTTTTCAGGCACTTCCGGTTCTTTCATCCTGCAATTCTTCATTGGGGTTAGGCATCCCTCCCTCTAACTCTCTACCACCACCCCCTCCCCATTTTTTCTCCTCTCACCTTGGCCCAGTTTACGATTTTCATAACATGCTTAAATATCTCAATGTATGCTGTGTTGAACATTTAAATGACTGCATGCACGTGAAACATGTACATGGAGTTCAGACAGTTCCTGGATGTGAATACGACCACCAAGTTATGCATCATTGCAGAACCATCTGAAAATGCACAGACTGTATTCCATCGCTCAAAGCAGAGAAAAAAAATGATCACCGGATGGGTCAGACACAGGTTCTGTGGTTGTCAAGAAAAATGTAGGCAAGGGGTCCTTACCTGCTTCACTGCATGAGGACAGACACATCTATAAGCCACACCAAGGAACAAGTCCCCCAGCCCTGGCTCATCCGCCTTCCTTCCCAGCTGTGACTGTGCTACACCCTGGCGCTGTCCTCTTGGCTTACAGACACTGGAGTGGCTAGAATATGTACAAGCACTAGGAGGGCTCTTTGCAACCCTGGCCACCTCCTCTTCCCTAACCTCCGGTGGGCGGCTCACAGGGCTGGAACCAGGCACCTCATCTCCGGAGGCAGAGCCCCCAGCTTTTCCCAGCAGGGTTCCCGCTAGGAGGTGGTCCCTGCTCTACAAGGCTCCCCGTGTTCTCGACCTGGTTGGTGCAAAGTAAAATGGTCTCTGCTTCAACTCTGGGCGACCAGGAGGCCAGCCATCGGAGCTGGAAACTCTGAGCCACCGCTTGGATGCCGAACTGGAGATGCCCAGTGGCCAGAGAGCGCCACCCCCTCTGGGCTGGACACTGAGAGGGCGCCAGTCCCAGCTGCCCCCGCCTCCCACGCCCCCCCCCAAAAAAAAGAGGGGAAACATACACATAAAAGCCCAACCGGAAAGCGGGCAGCATGCAATGCCTCCCACCCCTCACTCCTGGCCTTGAACTTCAACCTCACAGCCCAAGCTCCAGCTGCAAGTTGAAATCAACTCCCCCATCCCACCGCCCAGCAGGTCCCTGCCTGTTAGAGAAGGGGAGGGGGGAGGAGGGGGAGGGGGTCATCAACACTTGAAGCCGGAGCCTGAGAAGTCTCTTAGTCCCCCCAAAACCCAGCTGATCCCGTGGGAGGCAGGTGGCGACTGGGGTTCCACCAGGCAGGCAGAGGCTGAGCGCCCTCACGGATTAGTCTTAGGGCAGCTCATTAACAATTAACTCATTAATTAACACGGTCACAGAAGGCGTTGTTAAGAGATGCTCCAGCCCCCAAGCCTGCCCTCCGGCCCAGCAAAGAGGATTTGGCTCCGGTGTGGCCGGAGGGAGGCTGGGAAGGGAGCATTCAGCCAGGTTGACCCCAACCCCCCTGCTGGCGCGCCCCTGGCTCCGGGGCTGCCGATGCCCACAGCGGGCGGCCGCCGATCGCTGCAGGGCTGAGGGCACAGACTGTGCCCCGCACAGTCCCTCCCGGCGCGGGTCCCTCCCACACCCCGCACGGAGCCCAGGGCCAGCCGGTCACCCGGGCACCTGGTCCCCGCACTCCCCGCGCCCAGGTGGCTCCGGCGACTCCGGGAGCTGCGGAGAGCCCGCGGGCAGGGTCGCCTGTTGCTAGTCTGGTTAAATAAAGCAAGCATCTTAGGCTGCTGGGAGCTTCTGCGGTGCGCATCCCCCCTCCCCAAGCCTGAGAGTCAGGTTACAATCTGGCCAAGCGCACTCACCTAAACCCGGACGCCTGAGTCTTTCCGGGGGAGACCAGCTGGAGAAGAGAAGGTCTGGCTGCGCTGAAAGTTGGGGCTCCCTCCCTCCACCCCTGCGCATCACAGCAGAGCTCCGAGGAGGAGGCTGGATGTAGTGAATTAGGCTCAACCCTGGTTTCTCCAACTGAAGTCACAGACGCTCCTGGCACTTGTCAGGCGGGGCAACCAGACAGGGAGAGAGACTAAGGTGGAAACTAGGGGCGGGTGGGGGCGCCTCGGGGTGCGGATCAGTCCCAGCCCGGCTCGCTGGGGGAACCCAGAGGGGAAGCCCTTGGAGCCAGAGCCTGGGGGATGGGCTGGGCTGCAGCTGGAGCACTTAGGTGTGGGGGCTGAAAGGGCTTTCGCATTCAAAAAGCATGACTTGGGTCGTCGCCTCAGCCACTGGTGAGAGGAGAATATTCTTTCTGAGAATTTTTTTTAATAGGAAAAGGAAGAAAAGGAAGAAGGGAAAAAAATCTTGAATAATAGGCTCTCAGCTCCATCCACCCCAATGAAGAGAAATGTCGTAGAAACTTGTTCTTATGGGGGGGGGGGGGGTTGGGGGGGTGGTCAGAAAAAGCCCCTAAACCTCAGTGTTCATTAGCAAGTACTGATGCATGCAGGGGTGGTATTTAATGATAGTCAGAACTGTCAGCTAAGCCCACAAAAGAAAAGAAAAACACGCGTTGACATATGAACATACTTGTTTTAAAAATGAGCCTGGGGGTGGAACAAGTGTGGAGGGAGGCAATGACATTTTTCACGTAAAGTCTGTCCCTGATTTTCAATGTCTTAGAACCAAGATCATCAACGCGCTCTTTGCACAGCGCTCTCCCTCTGAAATGAGCACTCCGGGTCCAATGAAGCATCCCCTGGCTGCATTCACAGAATAGGAAAGGTGCTCCCCAGTAGGACGGCCGGATGGGAAGACAGTGCCCGGAATAACGTACCCATGTGTGATGTGGGGTGTTGTGAGGAACACACCAATGAGGCACTAAAAACCCATGCTCCTTCCCATGCAGAGACTTCAGTGCCCTGCAAACCCCACAGACACACACTTTGCACGCCCCCTGCCCCCAGTCAGGTAACTGGCTGCAATGAACACATACTGACATGAACAACCTTCTGATGGCGGGGGACCAGTGATCTCTCCCAGATCTTGTGACTGTCAGAAGGTCTCTCTTAGGCTCACTCTTAGATACGCATAAAATGTAACCTTGCAAATGGTATGAGAATGTGTGCCCAGGAGCCTTGATGGGAGGTGGAGAGGGATGGTTAAGGTTTCCTACAGCCTGTAATATAAATGAGAGAGGGCCGAAATAAATACAGAGTGCAGAAGATGATGGGGTGGTTCGCTATATGGGCTGTATCTTAGCACAGCAGCAACTAACACAGTTAAGGGAACACGGTCACATACATCTCTGAGTTCTGAAAGTCACAAAAATGCGTTTAACGATGGCACTTCTTTACACAAACATGGCTTATTAAAAATAACAGCAGCAGTAGGTCTCTAATAATGCGTAAAGAGGACTTACCAGAGGAAATCGCCGGAAGCACGATGACAGGGAGAACAAATATCTCCAGAATTCACACAGACATTCCATGATCTCCAGAAGAAAGGTACGGTGACGAGCTGCAGGCTGGTGGAACTTTGAAATAATCAGCGCTTCCCGGTGGCATGTAACCAAGTCAAAACCCGGTACCCGGAGAGCCAAGAACCCCCAGGAAGGGGAGCAAAATGTGGAGGAGGTGCCTTGTAGTTTGGGGGGGGGGAGCGGTGGTGGTGGAAAGGGGCTTCTAATGGGATGATCTTTAGGCAGCCAAAATGAAAATTCACAGACTCCACCTCCCCGCAGAGTGGAGAAAAACAGAAGCCCTGCAACCCCAGAGAACAGGAGCTGGAATACAGGGAAATCTAGGAAAGAGGAATCAAAAGCTGTGCTGAAGACAAGGAGCTAGAGAGAGAACTAGTGAGCGAGGCTGTAGGCATCCGGGTAGAGAGAGCAGCAAGAGTGACTGAGGCTGCTGGGAAGGATCCAATGAGAATGCGAGAGGGCACTGCCTCTGAAATCCTGCTCTGAGCTCCCTTCTCTCAGGGCTCTAAGATTTACCTGCGTCGGGAGCCTCATGATTACGATTAATCGTCTTCCACCAGCACATTACCCTAGGATTTCCCTGAACCCTCCCAGACCCAGCAACTGTGGGAAGCGTAGTATATATAGAAGCCCAGCACGGCCACTCTCACCCTCCTCCCTGTTCCCCCCACATGAGCCACTGTGATCACTTTAGCATGACCAGATCCTCAGCATTTGGGGGGAGGGGAGTGTCGAAGGGCTGAAGATGCCGCTGAGGCCAAGTGCAGTCAGGGGCGCTGCGCCCAAGGCTCAGGGAAGGGGACCCCCGCTTGGTGGATAGAAGCGCAGGGGCTGCAGCACTGGCGGCTGCAGCGGCGGCGGGAGCTCTCCGAGGTCCTGATTTCACAGCGAACCCTGCAGCCCGAGACTCAGAGCCACTGACTCGCATCTGAAACCTCAGCACCAGATTGATTGAGAAGCGAGAGCTTTGGAGGTCCTGGGGCCCGTCCCCCGGGGAGCAGGTGGCAGGCGGCGAGGTGAGCCTCCCGCGCCCCCTTTGATTCCCGCACGGTCACCGGGGGAGAGCGCGCTGGGAATGGCTGGGCGGCAGGACGCATTCTTTTGCCATTTTCGCATCCCCGCTCCCCGCCTGCAGGAACGCTCGCTGGCCAGCTCGGTCGGGTGAGATCCTGATTCCTGCTCCCCTCCCCTCCCCATGGCCCCATCCCTTCTCCAAGCCCAAATCCCAAGTGTCTCTCTCCCTCTCCCTCTCTATTCGGGACCTTCCTTTCCTTTCCTCTTTGAAACCTACGTCCCTTACGGCATTGCTTGTGGGACTGAGGGTGCTGATCCTCCCGGTGGGGGGATTTGTGTTTGGGCTGTGAAAGGGGCCCCCCTGGCCACCCCGGACCCTCCTGGGGGACCATCCCTCTCTCCCTCCCTGGGCTCACCCTCGGAGCCAGGATGGGCATAAAGAGCACCTCGGGAGTCTTTTGCCCTCGGCTCTGTCTTCCTCTGGACCCCGCGAGAGGAGGGGAAGGTTGAGTGGAAATTGATTTCTCGCACAGACTGAGGCAGCGAATGATAGAGGGAATCGACATTTGGCCGGGATGGAAGCGTTCTTGGTAAGTCGTCTTATTTTCTGCGGCTGAATAGGCAACAGCGTGGCCTCTCGCCGCCCCATCCCCCACTTCATTCATTCATCTGCTCCGAGATGGTAAATCGCGATCTGGGCTGCTTTTCCTCCTTCCCAGGAAAGCCGGCGTTTGGAAGGGGGGATTGGAGTCAGGGGCTTTCAAGAGGCGACATGGGGGTGTTAAGGCCCTTCCTTTCCTACATTCAAAACCAAAACACAGGTCCAGCGGGTCCTTGCTTACTCGCTAGAGGGATAGTGAAACGTCTCCCTTATTTCTTACGGAATTCTCATTCTTTTCTGAAAATAAAGCGTGTCTGGTAGTAGCCTATGTCTGTGCTTTTGGTGAACCTTGGCCATGTTCTAAAATGTTAATATTCTTGCAGTTCCAGAAATGAGAATCTATACAGTGTCCCCCAAAAATGTATACACACACTTTAACAGCTGACAGGTCAATTTTAGAAAATGAAATGTATTTTAATAAACACTGCCTTTATTCACACTTCAAAGTGTGTGCATACATTCACTTCTGGATATATATATGATGTTGCTATAGCTTAAACTTATTTGGATATTTATCCAAGTAAGTTTAAGCTATAGCAACATCCTATTAATGTGTGCCTCTTTTTCATTTATTCATTTATTTTTAAATATATTTTTATTGATTTCAGAGAGGAAAGGAGAGGGAGAGAGAAACATCAATGATGAGAGAGAATAATTGATTGGCTGCCGCTGGCACGCCCCCTACTGGGGAATAGAGCCCAAACCCAGCATGTGCCCTGACTGGGAATGGAACTGTAACCTCCTGGTTCATAGGTCAATGCTCAATCACTGGGCCACACCTGCTGGGCGTGTGTGCATCCTGATTCAAGTTCTTCTACAAATCTGTAGCCTCCAAAACAGTGACTTGCATGTGGTGATGAGGCCTATAATTCATAAGACTCTCTTTAGCACCCCAGCCTGTGCACACCCGTCATGTGAAGAGTTGGGTTGGTGTGCCAGTGGGAAGAGCCCAACAGCTCTTGCTAGTGCTTACATATGAGGCACCAAGTACAGAAGAACAAATCTTGCAAATTGAATGAACTTGGTTTTCAAGCGCCAGCTGACCATTTTGGATAGGAACAGTGAATTTATATACCTAATGCAAACAAGATGGTCTTAAATATCAGATATTGAAATACCATTGATTAGAATAGACTTCATTTCAGATAATCATTGTTCTAGAAATCAGTATTATAAAATCCCAGGAGATAGCTAAATGGCATATTACAACAGCAAGGTAACCATGCATGCAAATATCTACCATCATTATTATTATCATCACCATTGGAGGGGAGGGGGTAGCCAAGCCTGCTTGTCTTAGTAGTTGAGCATAGACCTATGAACCAGGAGGTCACAGTTTGATTCCTGGGGTTCCTGGTCAGGACACAGGCCTGGGTTGTGGGCTCAATCTCCAGTGCGGGGCATGCAGGAGGCAGCCAATCAATGATTCTCTCTCCTCATTGATATTTCTATCTCTCTCTCCCTCTCCCTTCCTCTCTGAAATCAATAAAAGTATATTAAGAAAAAAATTGGGGAGGGAGACATTCAGTAAGGACATTTTTGTATAACTTTTTTTTTCTTTCTCTCCTTAGGCTATATTCCAGCCCTAATGGTGTCACAATGCAAAAATTTTTCTTCCGTCATCTCATTTTACCAAAAGGATGATTTCTGTATATGTCTGTGTTTTATGGAGACTGTGTCTAGCTAGAGGATCTGAGATCAGCATAAGAAGGATGAATATCCTAAATTACACCCACTACAAATACAACCAAACAGTGTAACATAGAGAACATACTTTTCATATAAGACCTCAATGTGTTGCCTAAACCTCTTTGCCTAATTTGCTATTCAAAAAATGTAATTGTTTGATGATGTAGATTACAAAAACATATGATCAGATTAAAATTTTATATCAAATAAATGGGAGGTTGCTGTTCTTTAAAATACTTGGAGAGGAAAAAATAAGATACAGGGTAAAAAAATAATTTTGTGTCCTATTGTTTCTTAGATTTAAAACAGTTTATAATACTGAACATTTATTAGATACCTAGAGGCCTGATGCATGAAATTCGTGCAAGGACCTTGACCCTGGCCCCCGCCTGCCACCGCTGCCACTGGGGACCTCTGCCATGGCCCCTGCTCGCTGTGGCTTTTTCCAAAAGAAAGGAAGTCCGCAAGGACATGTGGTCTAATTAGCATATTACCCTTTTATTATTATAGATTTAAGTATGTGAGTATCAGATGGTTCCATTTGATGGACTTCAAAAAGGAGCCATGGGCTTTATATCCCCTGGCTGGCTCTTACCGTAGGTATAAATTTGGTTGGTACTTAGAACTTTCTCAGAAATTACACAGTTTAATTTTACATGGAACAGATCTTCTGGATTACCTCAGTGCACATCTGCGGTTGGTATTTTAGCACACTTTGCATTACCCTGGTTCCTTGTTCTTTTAAGTGTAAGCATAACATCTAATGTATTTCATACGTAGTAATCCATTAAAATCTCTAAATGAATCAACATTCAAAGTAAGATGATTAATTAAACTCTGACTTATGTCTGAAACCACACACATTATGAAATAAATGCAGAGATGAAGACACTGCAGAGTGATGAAAACCTGCAAAAAAAAAAATCCACGTTCCATTAAAAAATGGCTTCCATAATTAGGAGAAAAGCTGTATAACTTCAACCATTTGGGAGTGTTCAATTTTCTGGAGTGGTTGAAGCTATATCAGTCTTCCTCATTCTTTCAGATACATCAATAATTGAGTATGACAGGCAAGCTATTTTTTTAATGGAAAGCCTAAAAGACAAATATCAACATTACCATCCATTGGCAGTTATCATAACTACCTCGATTGTAAAAAAAAAAAAAAAAAACAAAAAAAAACAAGAATACAATCTAAAGATGTTTATAAATCCTATAATGTGCTCTTATAAAATTAAAATTTTGCATGCATCTAAAATACTGCAAAAGATAGAACACATATGGGGAATTTATATTGGTCATTTTATGTCCTAAGGATGGAAAACAAAATCCACATTTATTCAAAGCCCAATTTGTTCATGAATACAAATTTCTAATTATTAAGGAGAAAGATGCATAGAATTTTTAAGAGGTTATTATAGGCCTGCTTCTTTAAAAGGATTTCCTTAATACCAAGTGCACCATTTGGTTATAAACATTTCATACATGAAATAACAGCCTAAAAGAACTTAATTCATTTCCCAAAAGTCACAGGCTAAGTAGAAGATTCAAAATGGGAAATTGAAAGTCTGGGTGGGTTCCCGTTACACCCTTTGATCCCATAAAAGGCAGGGGTAAGAGAAGCATTCTGGAAGCTTTGGTTGAGTAGCTTTGATAAGGCCGCATGCGTTTTTGTACAACTGATTATGTCTTCAAATGCATATACAAATCGAATTCGAAGCCCAACCTATTTCAGAGCAATGTCTCCGACTATCAGCTCCATGGTGGGGAAAACATGGTGGTGGTTTTTCACCTTATTTACCCCCAACTCCCTGACTGCATGAGACCACAAGACAAAGACTGACAAGGAGGGGGGATGTTTATTTTCATGGAGAGACTGGGATGAAGCAATTGATCGTTTTCTCCTTGTATTTTGTAGGGCACTGCAATCAAGAAAAGAGGATGAACATTCGCTTAATTAGGATGCACCATTAATTTCACTGTCTCATGAACATCCAAGGTCTTTTGCCCCTTTTAATGAAAATGACAAGAAACTGAGTTACTTGATTGCCAATTCTCTTGGTTTCTACATCTCTCTAAATCTCTTGCACTTCCCATTCTAAAGAAATGAACACATTGTAGACATTGATCATGGACTTTGCCTCTGAGGACAAAATATGAATTTGAGGGCAAACGCCATTTTAAAAGACTATATAAAATGAATTCATTTCATCTTTATGGAAGGAGACCCGGCCTAAAAGTCAATTCAACAAATATTTATTGAGCATTTATTCAACGATCATTTATTGATAGTATTGCATATAAGAAGGAAGGTTCTAAGTGTTGTAAAAATATAAAAATAAGTTCCAGTCTCTATGTCCCAGTACGAGGGCAAGGGAAGTACACTGATAAATATAAAGGTCTTTTTAAGTCCATCCTGCACTCTATCTATTCACATCACCAATCAACCTTTTATTAGAAAGAGAAACAAGTTTATTGGTTGTCATCTATGGGCCAAGCACTTCTTAAGATAAGGTATGGAAATGAGATAACCATGTGAGCCTCTAGCACCTGACAACAAAGAAAATAATAAACCTAGAGCTGAATAATCAGTCGGTGTCTTAACCTACGATTGCACACACCCAGAAACCTAATGAGAAACGATGTCACAGCCCAGAAGAGGTCCTGCTGAACCTCAGGCCGCATGAGCCTCTAAGTCAGCGGTTCTCAACCTGTGGGTCGTGACCCCTTTGGTGGTCGAACGACCCTTTCACAGGGGTCGCCTAAGACCATCCTGCATATCAGATATTTACATTATGATTCATAACAGTAGCAAAATTACAGTTATGAAGTAGCAATGAAAATAATTTTATGGTTGGGGGTCACAACATGAGGAACTGTATTAAAGGGTTGCGGCATTAGGAAGGTTGAGAACCACTGCTCTAAGTTGTGTGAGTGATAGGCGCCCCCTCGTAGTAGGATCAGGATCAAGACACAACAGCAGTGTAACAAGGCAGGGTTTTGGCTCCTGTCCTATCCTGCCAGTCCAGTATGTGTGGATGGAAAAGCACAAGCCTCTTTACCCTGCATCAGGGCCCAGGTCTAGGTCTCGCTCTGGACCAGAAGTGATTGCATAGGCAATAGACTGTGACCATTTTCTCTGGGGCTCTGCCTGAGCCAGCCTCTCTTCTGGGACAACAGCTTCCCGGAGATCAGTTCTGCTCAAGTAAACACTAACCTTTACACTGAAATAATTACTAATTACTGTAGTAAACTTTGTTTTGTTCTTCAAATTATTAAAAAATATATTTGTATTGCTTTCAGAGAGGAAAGGAGAGGGAGAGAGGGATAGAAACATTCATGATGAGCCCTAGCTGGTTTGGCTCAGTGGATAGAGCATCGGCCTGCAGACTGAAGGGTCCAGGGTTCGATTCCAGTCAAGGGCACAATCCCAGGTTGCAGGAACAAGAGAATCATTGGCTGCTTCCTGTGGGCCCCCTACTGGGGATCAAGCCCCCAACCCAGACATGTGCCCTCACAGGGAATCGAACCTTGACCTCCTGGTTGACACTCAACCACTGAGCAACACTAGGCAGGCTATAGTAATATTAAGTATTTTCAATATTATTTATGATGTTCATGGACTTGATGTAGTAGCATTTCCTTTCAGGCTTCCTCTTATCATCCTAGTATTTTCCTGTAAGTCCTTTCCTATTGTTCTACTAATATACCCTTGAATGAAAGATCTGAATGCAGTTTAAATTCTGCACCAACCTCTTTTTTCTCCCCAAAGAGACTTTGCCCTTATTTGTTGTCTTCAGAATCAGACATTTTGAATATATAAATTATGTATCTTCACAACTGCCCTGGGGATATGAAGATCACATTACCATTTGTCTAAAGAAATACGTGCATTTTCCTCCGGATTTTGAGTTTTTGGAAATAAAGATCTTGATTTTATTAATGCTCTGAACTTTCAAAAGAAAATTCTTACACTAGTTGTAGATATTTATATATCATATACATATTTTCAATAACATATTACATACATTTTACTCCTGAGTATCATAACTAGGGTTATAATACTTAAATACATTAACTCTAAACCTTTTAATGCATAATACTCCATTCCCATTAAAGTACAAGTAGAAAACACCATAAAACTTAAAATTCGCAATTGTACCTGATCGAGTTTGGAAGAAAATTTGAGTGAATGAATGAATGAATGAATGACTTGGAGATGCTGTTCTCTGGGAAGTGGTAGAAGACAAAGTTCATATAAATATGTCTAAAAATTTATTAAGAATTATTCCAATGATAAGGAACAGCAAAATTTGCCTGTCAGACAAATATGGAATTCCCATTAATATTGCTGCAGGATGTTAAATGATTCTAATATAAATTATGTGTATTTCACATAAATGCAAAATAACACTTAAAGTTTATTTGATCCACACATTTGTGAAATGCTTGTTTAAACAAGAAAGGTTTCCATAGAGATTTCATAGACTAAAAAATAATTTTCTGTTATTGCAAACCATAGGATTCCACATCTGGAAATGTTCCTATAAAACGATTTAGAATCAGAATATACTTGTGATTTATTAAGGCTTTTACTCTACTTTCTTGCCACTCTTTAAAATCATCATTAACTATCCTTTTAAAATCTGGTTGTAATGTTATTATTCAAAAACTTAGTTGAAGCTTCAGATTTATTTCTATACCTCATATCAAGTTATCTGAGGAGACTGACCTTTATATTTCTGGTTATAATCATAAAATTCTTCCTGTTATTGGCATCCATATATTTTCTATTTGTCTCTTAAAGCTATAGGTAGCTTAATTCCAATTTAATTTTTTTTTAAATCAGCTTTATTGGAGAAGTCAATAAACTCAAAAACCTTAGGATTTCTGAGGCATATTTGAAATATTGACTTCAAAAATATTTTTTCTTTCCTCCCCACAGTGCCTCTCAATTTTTTTTTTATTTTTTATTTTTTATTTTTTTTGCTGTATGTGTCATAAAATATACCCTGATGCTTGTGCATGTAACACAGTGGGACTTGCTGATTGCCAACTCCTGAGTTGTCTGCCCGTCTTGATTCTGCTCAATCTAACCACCGCCTTGAACACAGTCTATCACAATGTTCATATCACCCGACTTCACGGGGTAGCAGTGATTTCTCATCTTGCATTCCATCTCGCCAATCATCCCATTCGCCTGTGTAGCAAAGACACTCCCGAAGATTCCTACTATGCTACACAGAGTATGTAATTAACGGTGAGGTTTGGTGGAAGCACCGTGGGGCTCGTCTCTCTCTGCTGTGTCTCCTGCACTCACAGTCCTATCACTACTAGATAGAGGCGCAGGGAGCGTTATATGGAGAAAGAATGCGCCATTCAACCATGCTGTGCTTCTTCAGAAATGTTCCGTGCCCAGCACTCAGGAGTTTTGTTCTTAAGATAGACGTTTGTTTCTATTGCAGGATAGTTTTTATATTTTAAAAGGAAAAAGACTAGGCTTTCCTTCAACTGGAAAGACTTTTAAAATAAATCCATGGTAGTGATGGACAAATTTAATGTAATCAGGGCATGGATCCCATATACGACAAGGCGGTGCATTTATAGACTTAGGATGAGTGTAAAAAATAGTGCCTATGGGGATATGCAAAGCATGCTGGACCAGAAATAATTCCATAATAAGATCATTTCTATTTCCTGCCTTAATAAAACATATACTACATTTATAAATGCACCGTCCTCTT